ACACATGAGCCTGTGATGGACTTTCTATCATCTGGATCACATGCCCAGTCAGAATCAGAGAATCCTGTAACTCTCAAGTCTTTGCCTTTAATAAAATGCAAACCATGGGAAGATGAACCACTGAGATACCTTAAAATTCTTTTGACAGCTCTCCAATGAACTTCAAGAGGAGAAGCCATAAATTGACTTACTCTGTTGACTGAAAAAGCAATGTCTGGCCTGGTGATGGTTAGATATTGCAAACCACCAACTATACTCCTGTAAAAGGTCCCATCAAAGGAAGTACCATCTGCATTTTTGGATAATTTAGATGATGATATCATGAAAGTAACACTTCCCTTGACATTTTCCATGCCAGCCTTTCTAAGCAAACTGTGTATATATTTCTGTTGTGACAAATGCAAACCTTGTGGGGTTTTAGTAGCCTCAATACCAAGAAAGTGGTGCAGTTCACCAAGGTCCTTAATAGGAAAAACCTTCCCGAGGCTGTCAATGATATTTTGAACAACTTGAGTGTTGTTCCCAGTTATTAGAATATCATCAACATAGATTAATAAAAATACTTGAACTCTTTTGTCTGTCTTAAAGAAGAGAGATGGATCAGAAATGGAATTTTTGAAGCCTAAGCCTTGGACTACAGCCTTTACCTTGGTAAACTAGGCTCTTGATGCTTGCTTCAGCCCATATATAGCCTTGTGGAGCTTGCAAACAAGAGGTTTGTTATCTGCAGTTTTAAAGTCAAATCCAGGTGGCTGTTTCATGTAGACATCCTCCTCTAATTCTCCATGCAAGAAAGCATTGCTGACATCAAGCTGTTTGATCCTCCAACCAAGGTGCAAGGCAATGGTCATCATGATCCTGATTGTGGTTGGCTTTACAACAGGACTAAATGTCTCTTTAAAATCAAAGCCAGCAGTTTGAGAATAGCCTTGAGCTACCAATCTGGCTTTGTACTTGTTGATTGAGCCATCAGGATTCTTTTTCAACTTGTACACCCACTTGCTCCCAACTAAGTTATAGCCTTCAGGTAAAGAAACTAAGCTCCATGTCTTATTTTTAATCAAGGAATCAAACTCATCTTGCATAGCCTTTTTCCAGTGTTGATTTTCTAAGGCCTGCATGAGAGTAGTTGGTTCATCTTCAGAAATGGAAGTGTTGTACACTTTTGGCTTGAAGATCCCTCTTTTTGACCTGGTGATCATAGGATGTAAAGAGGGATTAGCAGCACCTGTAATATGCACATGAGTATCTGGTTCATGAATATCATTTCTCATAATTGGAAGCTCAACAAACAAAGGTATAGTGGAATTAGAAGATTGAGAATTTAGAGACTTGGATGAGTTTGGGGGTGCTATGTGTAGGAGGTGTAGAAGCAGAAGGTGTTTGAGGTGATTGCTGAGATGTTCTTGAGGTTAAAGTGGGAGTTCTGTGATATGAGTGAGAAAAATCCATGACACATGGTGCAACATTTGAAAAGATATAGGTAGGTGGAGTGGATTGGCTAGTAGAGGGCAGTTTCTGTTTAAAAGGAAATTTTTCTTCATCAAAAATCACATCCCTTGTGATTATCACTTTCCCTGTAGACAAAAGAACCTTATATCCTTTGTGACTAGGACTATATCCTATAAAGGTTCCTTTATCAGATCTGAATTGAAGCTTATGTTTATTATAAGGTCTGATGTTGGGAAAGCAAAGACAACCAAATGTTTTAAGCATGTGAAGGTTAGCTTTGTGACCATAGAGTAATTCAAGAGGACTTCTGAATGAAAGACTCTTTGCAGGAACTCTATTTATGATGTAACATGAGGTAACAAAGGCATCATCCCAGAAATGTAATGGCAAAGATGATTCAGCAAGCAAAGATAAACCCATTTCAACTACATGCATGTGTTTCCTCTCAACTATTCCATTTTGCTGAGGTGTATAGGGGCAAGATAACCTGTGTTGAATCCCATGATCTAGAAAGAACTTAGATAGGGATCTAAACTCACCACCCCAATCAGTCTGAACAGTTTTGATGGATCTACTCAATTGGTTTTCTGCAAGTCTTTTAAAGTGAACAAAAGCTTGGTAAGTATCAGATTTGGCTTTGAGAAGGTACAACCAAGTAAACCTGCTATAGTGATCAATAAAGGTAGCATAATAATGAAAACCATTTCTTGATTTAACAGGTGAGGGCCCCCACAAATCAGAGTGCACAAGTTCAAGAGGATTTTCACACAAGGAATCAGATAAAGAATAAGGCAGTCTATGAGCTTTAGATAACAGACAAGAAGAACAAACTTCATTGATAGTTCTTTCATCATAAGGCACATTACAATCTTTCAAAGCTTTTATTACAATATCATAGGCTGAATGCCCTAATCTTTTGTGCCAAATGTCAAGACTACACTTCTTGGAAGAAAAAACAGCATTAACACTATGACTAAATGCAGGTGGATTCTTTCTTGAACTTGAACTCGGAATTTGTTGCTTATCCTTTGAACTGGTGAAGTTGAATTGATATAAGCCTTCCTTAAGAATTCCCTTGAGCATAATTTGGTGAGTATGTTGATCCTTAACAAGACAAGAATCAGAGTGAAACTCAAAGTAAACTTTATTATCATTAGCAAATTCTGAAACACTAGGCAGGTTCTTGGTTATGGAAGGAACATGTAGGAGCTTATTTAGGGTAAAAATTCTAGAGCATGAAGAAGATTTAAGTTGAGCTTTACCAATATGAGAGATGTACTCACCAACTCCATTACCCATATGCAATCTGTTACTGCCTTGGTATTCAGACACACTTGTGAGATTGCTCAGATCATTTGAGACATGGTTTGTGGCTCCTGAATCTGGGTACCTAAGTGTGTCTATGTTGTTCTCAGCCTGGAAGTTGGATGATGAAGGCAGTTGAGCTATATGAAGAGCAGGACCCCTTTGATATCCACCTTGAAAACCACTTGAGGTATTTTGCTGTGACTGAGAAGAGGTGCCTGTTTGCTGGTTCTGAGGAGTGTAGCTTGTGTCAAATCTATACCAACACTTATCAGCAGTATGGCCTGAGACCCAACACACTTGACAAATTGGTCTTTGTCCCTGAAAACGACCTCCTCTACCTCTAAAACCACCTCTGGACCTGCCCCTTCCCTATTGGAGTAGCCTCTTCCTCTTTGGCTATTCTGATTGTGGCTTTGAAAGTTACCTCTGTTGATGTTGTGAGCAATGTTCAATGATGGTTGAGAACCATCTGAGTTTACATTTCCAGATCCAATGGTGTTGTTAGTCATGCCACTTGCTTCAAGTCTAGACTCATAACTCAGCAACAATGCTTGCACATCCATGACAGTCCAAGTATCCATTCTAGAGGTAACAGTTATCATAACAGGATCATACTCATTCCCAAGAGCTGAAATGATGTGCAAAATCTGGTCTTTCTCAGA